ACCTTAATAGCACACAGGGAATGGTAACTTATTTGCCAATCTAACAAGTACAGAATTTATTTTCCTACCTTTAGTGCCTAGCACACAGCAGATTCTTCAGTAAACATTTACTAAATGAAGTCACAGGGTCCTGAAATGAACAGACATCCTTGCATAGTCACTGGCACTTAAAGTCTGACCAGAGGAAAGTTTTAAATGGCAGGGGGTAGGCAGCCGTAAATGAAGTCAAAATACAAACGACAAACTCGGAAAAAATAGTGAAACAAATGATTGACAAAGTAGAAAATCACTCTACAAAGCTAAGAACACAGACTTCTGAGTCAGATACGGATATGAATTTCAGTTCCGCTACTGATCACTTCTGTGAACTTAGGCAAGTTACATAACCTTTAAGCCTCATTCCTCTCATCCATAAAATGGGAGAAAATAGTATATAGGTCATAGAGTTGGTATAACATTTAATGAAATAAGGCATGTGTAAGTGATTAATACAATGTCTATCTCATGCTAAGTGCTCAATAAGAATTAACATCCTTTTAGATAAAGAACTGTCAGCAACCAACAAATAACCAGCTCACAAAACAAAACAAAAATCCTTTTTATCATGACTCAATGAGGGCACTCCAATTTATCATACTGGCAAGTACATATTTGAAAAGGTATGAGGAACCAGCCTTTCAACAACTGTTAACTGGGAGCATAAACTGGTAAAACTTTTCTCTAATATAGTTTGGCAATTGTCTTTAAGGGACTCAAAAAGTCTTAAGAACACTTTGACCCAGGAATTCTGCTTCTCAAAATTTATCCTAAAAAAATAATTGCTACTGCGTAAGTACATAAGAATGTTGACTGTGGTGATGTTTAGTGGAAAAAATTTAAAACAACCTAAATGTTTGAGGATTGTCCCAATTCTTCACTCTTCTATAATAGGATTACACACATACACTCTCTGTCATACAATGGTGGAGCAGGCTCATACTAGCTCTCAAGAACAGAATGCTAAAGTTCAGGAATTTTATAAGCCAATCCCTTGGTATCTTGAAATCAGCCAAGGTGGGAGTATTTGCACCGCAGAATGAGCAAATGCCACAAATCAGGGCTTTTTCACCCCAGAAGGGCCAGCAGGTATATATTTACCAGCACAGCCCTGCTAACTCTGCAGTTACCTCCCCATCCCAATGCAGCTGAACTTGGCAATATGACTTGATTTGGCCAAAAGACTATTAGTAGACAAGACTTGTGCAAAAGCCTTTAAATGTGCTCAGTAGTCTGCCTGCCCTCTTGCGTTCCTGCCATGTGCCACGAGAAGAACATGTCTTAGGGAGTTGCTGGTCCACAGAGAAGAAGAAATATGGAACAGACCTGAATTCAACCTGCGGCATAAAGCAAAGCTGCCCCATGACTGACAAACTGAGCAGGAAAAATAAGCCACTGAGATTTTTAGGCTGTTATGCAGCAGAACCAACTAATACATTCTCTACCGACAGAGGAGTGAACAAACTAGTATATCTACATAATGAAAAATCCTACAGATTTGAAATGTTGTAAACTTATATTTAACCTGGAAATATGCCCAAGCTACATTATTTTTTAAACAGTTTATAAAACAGAATAAATATGGTATTTCTGTTAAAATATATATACACAGAAAAGTATCTGGAAAAATATTTACAGAAATGTTAATAATGGTTCTTTCTCAGTGGTGGAGCGACAAGCAGTTTTTGCTTTTAGAAAAAATGAGACAATACAGAAAGGTACAATGGTAGATTTTCACTTTTATTAATTACAAAAGAAGGCTGTTACTATTTCGGGGAGGGGGGGCACTGAATGTACAAAACAGTGAGTATTTTATAAACTAGCCAGCAATTTCTGGAGCTAAAGTAAATTAAATGTGACAGCACAGCAGACTGAATTCAAAACAGTCAGTCAGAATTTATAAATGTCACATTGTAAGTGGACAGTCAATGTGACAATGTACATGTACTGATTCGGACTTCTCATGTTTTCTCAAGAGCTAGATGGGCAAATAATCATCTACAAAGTGAGGCTCCCAGGGTGTTATCAAATTGGCAGATTACTGAGTACCACCCCAAATCCAGTAATTCAAAATCTTGGGGAAGAGAGACCAGGATTTAGTAATTTTAAAGATTGAGACTACTTAATGGTCTGACTGAGACTGGAGGGACCCCAGGAGACATGGTCCCCAGACTCTCTGTTAGCCCAGAACTGACACCATTCCTGAAGCCAACTCTTCAGACAAAGATTAGACCAGACTATGGGACATAAAATGATACTCACGAAGAGAGTGCTTCTTGGCTCAAGTAGATACATGAGACTAAATGGGCAGCTTCTGTCTAGAGGCGAGATGGCAAAAAGGGACAGGAATTGGTTGAATCGACATGGGAAATCTGAGTGGAAAGGAGAAGCATGCTGTCACAGTATAGGGAGAGCAGCTAGGGTCACATAGTAAATGTGTGTATAAATTTTTGTATGAGAAACTGACTTGAACTGCAAACTTTCACTTAAAGCACAATAAAAATAAAAAAATTGAGAATACTGACCTACATGGTAGAAACCACATGTAGACTAGTTAAATACAAGCTGTACTGAAGTTTGACAAAGAAAAGCAGAGTGTACACTTTGATGGTGACTTCTTGAAGGTCACTAAATTACTACTCTTGTACACTGAAGGCTATGTTCCATAAAATTTACTTAAAGACAGATGTAAAGTCTTCATTAATAAAAATGACAACTATAAGATTAAGTGAAATTATGTTCATTGCTGAACTGAATAACCTACTGACCTTTCATGTAAATTGCTTTGAAAATCACAAAGTGCACTCTCTAAATGTAAAGATTTATTTTCCAGCATCTCACATTGACATTCACTCATTTGAAAGTTTCAGTGTACCAAACACACAGCAGATGCCCATAAATCTGTGTGCTCTATGAATTTATAAGTAATTGCTAACAAATCACTACATGGCAATTACTGGGCTAAGCACTTTACATACATTAACTGTTTTAATCCACACAGCAACCCTGTAAGACAGATACTATCATTCCCATTTCCAGATGAACAAACTGAAGCAGAGAGGGGAAGGGGCTTGCCCAAGCTGGTAAGTGGACAGAGGAAGGATTCAAACCCAAGCAGGCTGGCTCCAGAATCTATGCAACCTCCTGATTTAAACATTATTCATCTACTAATAGCTTCTTAAATGAATCTCAAATATCTTTGAAAGGTTTTGTTGCTCACCATGTTAATAATTTGCTTTTGGCAAAATAAACACTATTTCAGACTTTTCTAATCTGTTAAGACATTTATAAGAGCTGAATGTCTTTATCTCTTATGCTTACTGGTTTCCTCAACAACCTAGTTTAGAGAAATTATTTTACCAAGATATCTATGGTCTTAGCCTGAAGACCTGCAATCTGATAAGCTTTGTTTTGTTTGTTACAAAATATATTCACTATGAGTAAAAGTTTAAAAATCTTATCCAGCAATAACTACTATTAACATGTCTTTATACATTCATATATACATTTCTTATTTATATGCATAATACTCCCACCATCTACCACTACTACCAAAAACAAACTAACAAACATAAAATCACTGTATAAACTGAGAAGAACTCAAATACCTTACTCTGCAAAAAAGACAGAAAATGAATTACTGTCAAGAGACCAACTATGTGAAGCTACTATTCCATAATGTAAACCCTGAGAACATTGCATTTTTACAAATAACCAAGTTTTGGTTTGCAGTAATCATTTTCTGAAAACGAAAATAGTTCTACAGGTGCTTTAAAAAAGTCTAAAGCCAGCCTCATCTAAACACTTCTATTAACAGGAAAGGCTTCGCGTCTGAGAAATATCAGACAAATGAGTCTTCTTACATTTTGTTACATATTTAGCTTCGTTCTTCTAAATTAAGAATTGAGTTAAAAGGTCTAAATAGAAAGTACTTGAATGTTTGTGCTACCCTATTTAGCACAGCACTCAATGGCTACTCCTTAGTTACTTCACTTAGTTACCATTCTAGCCTCCTAGCCATTTCCTCACTTCCAGCCCCATCATCACGAACCTGGAGCACTGCCACACACTACAGCCCCATGGCTTGACAGGCAACACAAAATTATCATCACTAACCATTACTCATGCTTACTTTACTTGAAAAGTAATAAATAATAGTTCCCCAGTAAAATACTCTGGTTTTAGACATAACCCAGGACCAAATCATATTCTCCAAGATCCTACTCTCTGAACTGTTTGAAAAATGTGCTTTACCTGTGGTTGTTGGTTGCACTTCCTCCTGGAACTGCCTAACCCAAGAAGCTTGCTATAATCGCTGTGTATATGGGAGTCACAGCAAGCTTCTTGAGAAAACTCCTCCACAGGAACTCTCAATACAACAAAGATTCTGGATAACATGCAACAGTTAGCATATCCTTTTATTACACGATGGTTTTACTCTACCTCAGTGTTACCAAGCCTGCTGATCAGAAACGCCTGTGGAACTTTTTAAAAACAGATTACTGGGCCCTATACTCTTCTAAGTATACTCTCACTCAGTCATTCTTCCAATCCTCAGAAGGCTGAGTAGATCTGCGGTGAGACTGAATTAAAAAAAAATTTAATTACCTAGATCCTTGCTACTCAAAGTATGGTCCAAGAAGCAGCAGCACCTGGGAACTTGTTAAAAATTCAGAATCACAGGCCCTATCAGCCCTAATGAATCAGAACCTGCACCTTAATGACATCCCCAGGTGACTAGTACAAACATTAAAGACTAAAAAGCACTGACCCAGATGATTCTAATGTATGACCAGCTTTTAAAAGCACTGCTCTACTTAAACCTCTCACTCTGAAAATATATAATCAGGTATACAAATAAATTTCAAATGTGTTTTAATTACTGCAAACGGGTTACAATGAAAATCAGTAGTCATTTTTAAGAGGCCTCAGTTATGATGCACAGCTACCACAATGCCACTCACCCTTGCATGACATACGGGAACTGATGACTCTCTGCAGGGTCAGTCTGTGCTTGTGGAAGGGTACGTTGCCTCAATCCTTCTGAGGAAGAACTGGCACCTACAGACAAGGCTTCCTGACTAGATGATGGAGTTGATGATCCTGAATGATCAGAACTCTACAAATAAAAATGTATTTTTTCAAGGAGATTTAATTCATCACAAGCATGAGAACACAGACATTGCTAACAATATATTTATGAAACTCCTCTGAAAAATAAATGAATGTTAGAAATTTACTGATTTGACTCTCATACCCAATATAATAGGTATTTAATTCTGATAAGACTAAGGGTTCAAAAAATCAAAATTGCTTAATTATACATTTTATTTCTCAAACAGAAAACACTGGGTAGTAATTATATACAAAAAAAAATACCATACTAAATTGTGAGGATTTAACGAATGTATTCACGATATCTGACACATAGAAGGTGCTCAATAAATGGTACCAATTACCATGCCATTTAAATAGCTACTATGTGCCAGGTACTATCTAACATGCTATTGGTCACTATGGTTTAAAATAATGAGGAACATGATAGGAATCAGAAAATTAGAATCTGTTACTGCTGACATGACAGGTTCACTTAACCTCTCAGAATCTCAGCTTTCTCACAGAAACTCAGGCTGAACTAGATTCTCAAGATACCTTTCAGTTCTAAAATTCTACCAGTTTACAGATGCCTCCAATAATTTTTTTTTATTTTACAAAGTGAACAAGATACCAACAAGAATTTTTAAATTCTTATGCTCAAATGATGTCAGTACCTCACTGATTCAATAACCTTAAGCAGTAACCCCTTGAAGACCATCCCCATTTGTTGCTGTTTAAAAATAACTTATGTCAAGTGTCTTATATAAATTTAAAACACAATGTGTACATTTTACACAAATTATAATTCTCCCACTTAAAAAATCTGGATACAATATAATTTTAACATTCTGTTAGGTTCATTAAAATTGCCCTTTATCTGTCCTGCCTTCCTATTGCCAGGCTGTGTTTCTGCAAGCGCACCTTCCTAAGTCCTGCCACGTGAAGCGGCCTAAACACAACGGTCTTTTGCAAAACTAAGAGCTTTCTCTAATACCTACACAAAATAGATATGAAAATATCTTACTATGAAGTCTGACTGATTCTTAGGGACACAAACTAGGAAAGCTTCTTTTTTTTGACAAGATTTCTCATTAACCAGACCATTATAATGTAATGGTAGTTAACACAATTTTTTTTTTAAAAAAAAAGGCCTAGCTATTTGGCAGCATAGCCTAATTTCTCTAGAATGAATGATTTCTAACTTCATTGGGTAACTCTTTCATACTTAGATGTTTAAGACATTTCCAAATCCCTCTGAAATTTCTGAGCCATGAAAAATTAAGGTGAATTCAACTTAACTTTCCTTTGGAACTTTTTAGATTTTTATAATATGCTTTGAAAAAAACTGAGTATATGTACTAATGACATACAAATCATGGCTGAGGAACCATTAAAAAAAAGTCAGTCAAGTGAGATGATTCTTTGCCAACGAAAACTGCAGCAACACAACTGTGCGCAGACTACTCACAGAACTATGCCAATGCCAGTGTTTTGTCCCTTCATATGGCAAGGTAAGAAACATAGAAAGGCCCTTGAGTTTTATGACAAAGCATATTTCAATTTAATGTAAGCTAAATTCCCACGGCTGGTACTAGAAAATATGGTCCAATGAGGTCATACTAATTAAATATATTAACTAAAGGATCTAGTCTCTTAAAGAAGCAGTTAACTAGAATCTACTAGAAGATCTTCCAATTAGCTCTACTCCTCCCTCCTTAAAGAAGGAATGTATACTTTGCAGAATGAAAACTCCCTGCTCAAGAAATTTCTAATATGCTTCCACTCATCCCAATCCTTTCCTTTCACCCCCAAAAGCGTCATACAGTTTTTTGGGGCAATAAAAAATAATTTAACATAAGAGGATTGGGATAATGTCTTTAAAACCTGGAGATAAAATCTACTTTGAGAAGTTCAACTATTAAAATATATTCCAAAACAATTTTAGGCAGATAGAAAAGTAAAGAGAGAGATGTATATGCAGTCTGAAAGAGTTAAGTATATTAAGTTATTCTCTCCCTGCAACTGGAATGAATAATCGAGGTACACTCATTTAAAAAATAAAAACTCTGACAAAGAAACATGCTTCAAGAAGATTTAGCAGAGTTAAAATTTAAACAGTTTAACCCACTTGAATAAAATATACCCGTTGCTTTCGAGTCAATTCCAACTCATAGCGACCCTATAAGACAGAGTAGAACTGCCCCATAGGGTTTTCAAGGCTATAAATGTTTACAGAAGCAGGTTGACAAATCTTTCTCCCGTGGTGTAGCTGGTGAGTTTGAACCACTGATCTTTCAGTTAGCAGCCGAGCACTTAACCATTGTGCTACCAGGGCTCCTTTGAATAAAATACAGGCAGTCCCCAGATTATGAACGAGTTCTGTTCTTAAGTCTGTCTTTAAGTCGTATTTGTACGTTAAGTCGGAACAGTTAGGTACCATTTGTATCTAACGTCAGTTAGGCAAATGTTTGTCTTGGTATATAGTGTACCTTTCTACGCATACAAAACATTAAAGAAACACTTTCAGACACACTAAAGCATCTTTAACATAATAATACAGTAATAATGATAATGTTTTGATACTCGGCACAAAGTAGCGCCCATTTATTATTACAAACCATTGTATGTACCTCAAATTTTTAACATAATAGGCTTTATGGGCGCTGGTTCATAACTACAGATTGTACTTAACTCGGAAATTCGTAACCCCAGGGGTTGCCTGTATACTAAACTCTTAAATACCTAAATATTTCTGAAACATCACGGGCCTGAGAGTTTGTGTTATATATAACCATGTTATAATTTTGTTTTCTGAGTATTTCAGTAATTAAACCCTGTAAATTGGATCTATTAGTGACCTAGCATAGAGCAAATTATAACTCACAGTGAACAGGCTTCAAGGGATCACACTGTGTATCAGATCTCTAAAATCAAAGTTTAAAAGCCTAACCTAGCTATTCAAAACCCACAAGCACCAATTGTTCTGACTTTTCATTTTTAGAGGCAAAAAAAAGGATAATCAAAAAACTTCATTTATTCCTCCCAAAATAACTCACAGAATTGCTGCTGGTTGCCAAAGCTTCACGATTTTCTCTACTGGTGCAAGATTTTGGAGAACTGGGAGGAGTCCGAGAAGTACATACTAGATGAACCATGTGATACTCATCTTGCTAAAATTAAAGAAGATTACATTTAAAGGGTAGTACTAGAAAACGTACAGTTCAACAAAGCAGCAGCTAAGCTGAAATACTTAAAATTTAAGTTCCCTTCTAGCACAGCCACTTTATTAGTAATAAACTGTCATTTGAATTTAAATTAGCCATTTTGAATTTGGTGCCATTTTGAATTCAGTATTTTTTCCATGCTTGGAAAATAATTCAAATACTCAGTAACTGCTACATAAAAAATGATTACTTTGCATACCAAGCAGTACTGAAGCGAAGAATGCTGTAAATTTTATCAATATACTCTATTACTTCAATATAAAAACATCAAGATCAATATCAAAACTGTAATAATCACCTTTAAGCTTAGGCCTACAAATCTTAAACTGTGAAAATGAAATATTTCCTTTACTTGAGACACATCAGCTATTAAAAAAAAACTCAAAAAATTTCACCATAATCTCATTTGCCTTAATTTTAGCAAGGTGATATACAGGTTTTTGCTTATTTAAGTCAAAGACTATTTTTTATCTATAACATTTATAGAAACATATATACAAAATACATATGTGAACTATAGATATTATAAATGTTCCAGGTGTTTCCAGAAAACCACACCTACGACAGAGGGAAAATACTCTAAATAATGACTAGGGGTGGCATTTTAGCTTAGTGACATCATGAGTACACTTAGTCATAAAGAACAAGCAAGCAAATAAGATGGAGAAAGGAAAGAGAATAAAGGAAGACAGAAAAAGGATGAATGAGCAATTAAAAACAAAACAGAGAATGATGAAAAAAGAGGTGGGGGGGGGAAGGGGAGGAAGATGCCCAGTGGTGAGAAAAGAACAAAGCTACCAGAAACTAAGTTAACAACTGCCTACTATGAACCAAGAACCTAGAATTGTGCTTAGTTCTGTGGTGAATACAGCCCTTAAAGAGGCTCGTGATACTGTTAAGAGATCAGACCAGCACATTAAAGCACAACTGGGGAAAAATACAAAACAATCTTTTGCACAAAACTGAGAAGCACATACTATACTTGCTTTAGGAGTCTGGGGAAGAAAGTTCATGGGGGTTAGAATGCTAGGGAAAGGCTTCACAGAAGCAGTAAGACATGAGATAGGTCTGGCACCAGAGGTTGAAGACATTTCTAATTTACAATGTCCCTTTAGCTTCTGAATACCAAATATTAAAAACCATCCAAGTAGAAGATGTTTATCCTTAGAACCTAATTTCAAAGGTCATATTAATCACAATTCACTCATAGTATTTCATTCACTTTTAGAGAGTGTTTCTGTAAAATATTTTATAACTAAACAGGTAAAGGTAGTGGTAGCATTTAATTGAAAAAAGTAAAGGGGTACATTGACTTTAACAGAAACAGTCCAAATATACATTCAAAATGTAAACATACTGTTCAAAATGTTTTCTATAAGGGGTACAACAGTCCTTTGACTGTAACAGTTTTTAAGTCATCTGTGTCTGAAACCATTTCTACCAGCAAAAGCTTTTCAAAAAGTGTTCATGGCAGGTTCAAGCTACCCTGCTGTTAAAATAGTAACTATATCTGTATTTCAAAGATCAGGTAACAGAAAGGTTTTTAAGCACAGAAAGTAACCTGCTGCAAATCTCACTTTTATTTTTTTTTCCCGAGAGAGACAGGTTATTAAACCACTTGGACAAACTGAAACTACATAATTGAAATAAAATATCAGCAAAAAGTTACACTGGCAAAGCTAAAATGACAACTAAGCACAAGAAATACCTAGGCATAAATTTTTTAAAGTTTCCCACAGGTGATCGTAAGCATACAGGAGAGGATATAAATCTTCTAACTCACATCAGAAATATTAAGGGCAACGTGAAGAGTTAAGTCAAAGATCTAAGGCAAAACATAAAAATATGTATTCAATTCTGCTATATTCACAAACAAAAAGCATTTCAAATGCAGAAAGGTTCTAACAGTATAAATTCCACAAATAAACATGAGCTAAAAGCTATCATTAAAATAACTAGCATTCAAACTGATCATCAAAAAAACTATATTGAAACATATTTTAGCTCTGAGCAGCAAGAGCTCAAAGTTTGCTAACTGGTGGACAATTTGGGCTTCATTCTATTCCCTGTCTTGAAATTAAACTCCTAACCAAGTAACCTGTATTAAAATGCCATGTTGTTTGGTCAAAAGGGGATTTAGAGGAGAGACTGGTATCAATAAAAATCCTTCATCGCCACTTGAACATTCTACTCCTGCACTACAGATCTGTCAACGGTGCTTTCTTAGAAAAGATGACAAATACCTGAACACCAATACATAATTCTATTTCAGATCTGGCTATCAGATGGGTATACAAAAACTGTTACCCAAACTAATCAGAATCTATCATTATGTTCTTTCCTTTCTAATTTATCTTTACCTATCATGCTACTCAAAGGATTTAAGTATCTAAAAACTAAACTGGGTATTGATAAAATTTCAGGACACAGCTCCTCTCACACTTTGAATGTATCTGGTATCAAACAGTCATAGGAAAGCTTACTTTTCTGAGAATGTCTTTCAGCTGCAGATGATCGGGAAGCAGTCTGCCCGAATACACCAATCTCTGATCCTTTGTCAACTAAGAAATGGGACAAAGAGAAGAATTCAACTTTTTCTAATTAAACAAATGGAAGGTTGGAAATAACATGCCTAATTCTGGGTAAAATAAAACTCCCTTTAGACACAAATAAGCAGAAAACTGACATATAGTTTAAGAATTATTGTTTTTCCAAATCTCACTTAAGACATTTAAGAGCTCAGCAAACGGAAGTATATCTACTGTAGATAGAAAAAACTAGAGATAATTACCAAATAAAAAATACTTAGGGAAAAAGATAACATTGGAAATTTGTCTTTTCAGCCATAACGCAATGCATATACGACTATTATTAAAAAACCTTCAAGAATATGAGAAGGTAGTGGACTTTTATTAAGTCAACAAAGTGAATCCAAACCCACTGCCATCGTCAATTCCGACTCATAGCAACTCTACAGAGGATTTCCAAGGCTATAAATCTTTACGGAAGCAGATCGCCACATCTTTCTCCCGTGGAGCGGCTGGCGGGTTTGAACCACCAATCTTTTGGTTAGTAGCTGAGTGCTTAACCATGTGTCACCAGGTCTCCTTCCATTAAGTCAATAGTGGGATAAAACTTGAAGGTCACCAGAGTTATTTTGCATTGTTTTGTCAGTATTTTTCATCTAAATGGCACACAGAAGATTCTTTTTCTTTACTAACATCATGCAGAACAATTTGTTGGTTTTCATTCAAGAATCATTTAGTTTAGTTAAGTAACTAGTCTCTTTTTTAGAATTCCTACCACACTCACAAATACTTTTCAATGTTTTTCAAAATTACAAGACTAAAGAAAGATCAACACAAGTGCATGGAGATACAGCTGTCATCTCTATATGCAACTCATAACAGGAAATAATGTTCTGGTTATTGCCGTCATATTTTGTACTTATAATAAATCTACTAAGTGCTCACACTGTTAGCATTAAAATATTTTAAATTAAAGCACTGTTTATAGTCACTTAAGATCTCCTACTTCATAATTGAGAAACAGCCAAATGTTCTGGAATTCTATTAAAATAATTAAATATTACCTATACAACAATTTGATATACCAGTTATTTTACCATCATTAAGGATGAAAATGAAATGTTTAGCCTGTGAATCATAGCACTAATTTAAAACACCTGCTGGTACTAAACTCATCTGGTTCATTTCTGCAAATGGTACTGATACTAGCAGATTACTATGAAGGGAGCCATCATGTAGTTAGTATCTTAGAATCAAATTTCCTCTAATTTAGTGGTCAGCTTCTAATAAACTGCTTTACTTTTACACAGCAAGGAACATCAATTTTCAGAAAAGAGAATACAATAATACAGCAAAATTACATGGTATCCAAAAATACATGAGGCAAAAACAAGTGCTGATGAGAATGTACAGAAATTAGAATCCTGATACATTGCTGGCAGGAATTTAAAATGGTGCAGCCACTAGGAAAACAGTTTTGTGATTGCTCAGAAAGTTAAACATAGTTACCTTATGACCCAGCAATTCCATTCCTAGGTATACCCAAAAGAACTGAAAACATATCTCCACATAGCTTATTAGAATAGCCAAAAAGTGAAAACAACCCCAAACAATATGTGGTATATATCCATACAGTGGAATATTACTCATCCATAAAACGGAATTAAATACTGATACATGCCACAACATGGATGATTTTTGAAAACACTAAGTGAAAGAATACAGACACAAAAGGCCACATATTGTATGATTCCATTTATACAAAATGTCCAGAACAGACAAATCCATAAAGATGGAAAGTAAATTAGTGGTTGTCAGAGATAAGGAGGATGGAGAGTGACTGCTAACGAGCATAAGGTTTCTTTTTAGGGTGATTAAAATGTTCTGGAATTAGACATTGGTGATGGCTGCACAACTCTGTGAAATACTACCTACCTAATAGTACACTTTAAAAGGGCAAAGTTTATGCAAATTATTTCTCAAAAATATATATATTGTTACTTAAGTTGAACATTCAAATGCCTTCGGATAAGCTGAAATTTTTTTAAAAAAAGAAAAGGAATTCTTTTGTGACTGAAAACAGAAAAATTTCTCATGTGCCTAACTTAGGCTAAAAAACCAGCCTCTTCAGCTTAAATACCAATTAATTTAATCTAAACATCAGGCAAACCAGTTGTTAGGCATGATTTAACAAACAGCACAATGATCAACTGAATTTTTAACTAGTTACTTGGGTACTGCAAGCTACAGCATTAAGAAAGTACAGATTTTGAGAACTCAATTCAAATTCAATTTAACTTTTAAGAGTAATGCGATTTTATTTATCCAGACCTGCTAATAATAACACTATCTTTTACTCTGAAGTTTTCATTTCAGTATTAGTTAAGATAAGTAATGTGGGCCGGTATAACAAACTTTAAGACCTCAGTGGCTTAACACATAAAAGTTTATTTTTCTCTCAAAAAAAATTAAAAAAAAAGACATGGTATTGTTTAAATATAAGAATTCAGAAGACTCAGGACTGGCAAATCTAAAATAAGGTACCAATTAAACTGTCCATTAAAAATTTCTATAGGTAAAATATTGGCTACACCAGATTAACATATTTATAAATAAATGTAACCATCTCTGTTAACACCATTCTTCCTGTTGCTCAAGCCAAAAACCTTAGACTCACCCTTGACTCCTCTTTCTCACACCCTAGATCCAAGAGTTATCAAATTCTACCAGGCACACCTTCAACCATCTCCACTGTTCCACCCCAGACAAAGCACACTGATATATGGTGAAGCAGGATCAGCTAAATTACCAAATTGGAAACATCCTGATGGTACTCTAAGTAGCCTAAAGACAGAAACTACCCCACTCCAAATAAATAGCTGCTTAACTCACTGGCCAAAAAAAAGCTTACTACTCACTTACCAGACACTGCTAAGAACCACCTGCTGGTACATATGCAAGAATAAACCCTAATCTGGGGCAAAATTTTTTTTTTCTTCTAGGTTTATGTATACCTTTAAGCACCTGTTCCTTTAATGTTTACCAGATATCAAAAACAGATAAAATACTGTGCATCTAACAAAGTTTATTAAGAAAATGTTCTGCATCATATCTTGGTGAGTGGTGTCTGGGGTCTTAAAGCTAGCAAGCGGCCATTTAAGATGCATCAATTGGTCCCAACCCACCTGGAGTAAAGTAGAATGAAGAACACCAAAGACACAAAGAAAGTTATTAGCCCAAGAGACAGAAAGGGCCACATAAACCAGAGACTGCATCAGCCTGAGACCAGAAGAACCAGATGGTACCTGGCTACCACCAATGACCGTCCTGACAGGGAACACAACAGAGAGCCCCTGATGGAGCAGCAGAAAAGTGGGGTACAGATCTCAAATTCTAATAAAAAGACCAGACTTAATGGTCTGAGACTGGAGGAACTCCAGAAAGCACGACTGCTGGACTCTCTGTCGACCCAGAACTAAAACCACTCCTGAGGCCAACTCTTCAGACAAGGATTAGACTAGACTATGGGACATAAAATGATACTCGTGAAGAGTGTGCTTCTTAGCTCAAATAGATACATGAGACTAAACTGGCAGCTCCTGTACGGAGGTGAGATGAGAAGGCAGAGAGGATCAGAAGCTCGTTGAATGGACACGGGAAATCAGGGGTAGAAAGAAGTGTGCTGTCACAGTATAGGGAGAGCAACTAGGGTCACACAACAATATATGTATAAATTTCTGTATGAGAGACTAAATTGAATTGTAATCTTTCATTTAAACTACAATAAAAAAAGAAAAAAAATACTATGCAACCCTAACGCATCTAAAATATTCACAAGAGTCTGATACGTGGGCTTACAAAGCCAACAGTGCTTTCATATTTCAAGAAAGTCACCTAGTTGGTATCAAAAAATTAAATTTTTTATGTCAAGGACTAAATAGGTTTCTCATAACTATGTATGACTTAATCATGTTCCTAAAAGGAGAGAATATTCCCAAACTCATTCTATGAAGCTAGCATAACCCTGATACCAAAACCAGATAAAGATATCACAAAAAAAAGAAAATTACACACCAATATCCCACATGAACACTGATGCAAAAATCCTCAACAAAATTTCAGCCAATACAATTCATCAATGTATCAAAAAAATTATTCACCATGATCAACTGGGATTTATACCAGGTATGCAGGGATGGTTCAACATTAGAAAAACAATCAATGTAATCCATCACATTAATAAAAGACAAGAACCACATGATCTTATCAATCGATGCAGGAAAGGCATTTCACAAAGTCCAACACCCATTCACGATAAAAACTCTCAACAAAATATGAAGAGAAGGGAAATTCCTCAACATAATTAAGGGCATTTATACAAAGCCAACAGCCACCATCATCCTAAATAGAGTTTGAAAGCAATCCCCTTGAGAACGGGAACCACACGAGGATGCCCTTTATCACCACTCTTATTCAACATTGTGCTGGCGGTCCTAGCCAGAGCAATTAGGCTAGAAAAGCAAATAAAGGGCATCCAAATTGGTATGGAAGAAGTATCTCTATTTACAGATGGTATGATCTTATACACAGAAAACCCCAAAGAATCCACAAGAAAACTACTGCAACTAATAGAAGATTTCAGCCAAGTGTCAGGATACAAGAGAAACATACAAAAATCAGCTGGATTCCTCTATCCCAACAAAGAGAACTTCGAAGAGGAAATCATCAAATCAGTGCCATTTACAATAGCCCCCGAGAAAATAAAATACTTAGGAATAAATCTAACCAGAGACGTAAAAGACCTATACAATGAAAACCACAAGACACTACCACAAGAAACCAAAAGAGACCTGCATAAGTGGAAGAACATACCTTGCTCATGGATAGGAAGACTCAACATTGTGAAAATGTCAATTCTACCCAAAGCGATTTACAGATACAATGCAATCCCAATCCAAATTCCAACAGCAATGTTTAATGAGATGGAGAAACAAATCACCAACTTCATATGGAAAGAGAAAAGGCTCCGGATA